AACGGAATTTATATTAATACTTCTTTCATGAGGTAAATGCTTAGCTTAGAGCAACGTGTAAAACTCAATGAAGCTACTCTCTAAATATTTTCGAGTGAAAATTTGACTCTTGGTTTGAGTGAATGCACTATCAACTCTTCACAGAGTGACTTTACACTTATTTTCACTCGATTCGAGTGAAATCTGTGACTCGAACTATAAAGTGAAAATAATCTTAATTATTCTCTCGAAGTGTCGGAGTGAATTGTGGTACGCTGGTTCCGAGCAACTCGGGTCGAGTGAAAATTTACTTGAACCGAATGGCTCAGTTGCGTAGCCCGCGCAAGAGACGTGCCATGTTACAATGTCGGGCTTACGTGATGTATATTTGTGTTTATACCTAAAGATTTCGAAGAATTGTGGATATTAGTGCGTGGATTTTGTGAATATCGTGTTAAAAGACGAACATGTTTCCTAAGGTTGATATAATAACCTCACCACACGACATTTCTATCTATTATTTTCGAACGTTGATTAGGTTAATTTGCTAAGGCCTCCCATAAAACCGTCCGTCGCCGCCGACGACGAGGGTGCAGCCGGTCAGCTGATCGCCCGGGCATCCAGTATCGCCTGCACGAAGTTGTCCGTGTAGTGTTGCTGAAAGACCTTGACGGCCTTCCACAGACCCGAGATGCCCGGCTTCTGACCCTCGTACACCCGGGTGCTCACCGTCAGGCTCGTCACCGACGTCGCGGTCATGCTTGCACGGTGGTGATTCCGCGGGCACAGATCGTAGCCGCGACGGCTTCGCGACGCCTCCCCGTGGATGGGATCGTCGTGCATCGTGTTTTGATACCGACAAAGAGCCTCCTCCTCGCGTGCGACCGCATTGCAACTCGCGGCTTCCCGATTCGTTTTTCCTTAAACTAACTATTAGTTAGTTTACCAATAGGTTGGAACAACTGGGCCTTAGCAAATTAACCTAACCAACGTTTTAAAATAACAGGTAAAAATGCTATGTGGTGAGTCTTAGGAAACATGTTCGCCTTTTAAGTAAAACTTTACTCTAAGAACGAGCGAACAGCAAAATCAGACACCTGAAGAAGGCACTCTGATCGAGTGCAAGTTTTCACTCAAATACACGAGTCAAATTTCGCTCGAGCGCGCGAGTGATCTAATCACTCGACAAATCGAGTCAATATTCACTCGATAAGATATGTTCCATTTTCACTCTTTGCTCGAGTGAATTTCCACTCGATTAGAGTGATATTTCACTCGAAAAAATTTAGAGAGTACAGCGATTTAATCTACGGACTATACTAATTTCGATCTAGGTCAGATCTCGTGTTAAGATTAAACAAAATAAAGATATCTACTTTAAAAAAAAAATTTCGCCTTTATCTGTATCTATTTCCGATATACGTATCTGTTCCTATGTTTATCTCACGAAATAAAATGGAAGAGCTGCAAGATATCTAACATAAAAAACACAAGTTGTTCTATCTGCAATTTTGAGACCCATGTTGGAACCGCGATATTTTCTTTCACGCATAGTCTATTCTACGAAAGTGAACGAATTCCTCTTTCGAAAAAGATATTTTACGAGAGACATCTCTTTAAAAATAATATCAGTTTCTATATAATTGTGACTTTTATATTTCTTTAATACTTTTCTTTTTCAACGTAGGAAAACAATGCAGTGATTCGATTAAAATCGTATTGAAGCTGAAGTTGAAGCTGAAGATTAGATGTCGCTAATATTATATTATCGTTGGCTATTGTCGTCAGTTGAAAGCGTCATAAGATACATACTTCGACGTTTGTCGACGTTAGTACATCTTAATCAGATATTCTAATGGCAATACAGAGTTTAATAACGAGCTTGTGATGAAGAAATCAAATCAGTTAGGCTAAATTCCGCGTAAATGGCCGAAATTGTTCGCGAGTTGCGCAGCGCTCTACTGACAAATCGATAGAACTTTCCTCCTACCGGCGTACATCATCAAACCACCGACTTTCTCTTCGGAAATATCCAGATACCCTTCAACAACGTGCAGTTGCATAGTTGTCCGTGCAAAGTTTACGGCGGATCTCGGAGTCGATGTTCGGGCCCAGAATTAACACACCGCGCACCGCCGCTATAAAGTTTCCGCAGGGAATCCGATTACGGCCGACTACGGTAAAGTCTCCGCAAATGGATTTGCCGCGTGAAAGTTCCCAAAAACGTTAATCGATCGATTGGTCGCACGGTCAATGATGCCGGGTTTTTTTTGCGGGCTGACCCATTTACGCCTTCCGGAATGAGGACCAAACTAACCAATCAGTGACGCGATCATTATTAATAACCGAACAATTTTGCATAAATGTGTAGTATGTATATGATATATTCGTTTGGATATTACAAATAATACGGCCTAATAAAAGTGACCGATAAGAGTGGCATGCGATGTATTGGACATATTCAAAATATTTGATTAACTATATATATGTAATTAACTGAATAACGAAAATGAAAATCTACGTTAAAAGCGACATATTTTAGATTCAAATTAAATGAATTAAATGCGTTAAATATTAAAATATTTAAATGTTTAGCGTATGTAGTACAAACACATTTTTCCATAAATAATATAAACATCTGTTAAATTAGACATAAATATATCTCGTAGCTCTGCGTAAAAATAAGCCAAGTTTTTCAAGTATGAATTTCATACAGTATTTTATAGAGAGCGCGTTTCACCAATTCTTCTTTATGTTAGATCGTAATTTTATCAGAGCATATCTATGCAGGATTTGTCTGTCAGACAGACCTATCGATATGCTTCAAAGTCTCAAATCCATGTAGATATAAATGCTTTCTTGCGAACATTTTTCCTTCTTTTCGAGGGAAAGAAGATTTTTCATGGATTGTAATGTCTCTATACAGATAGCGCTGCATCGAAATCGACAAAGTAATATTTTATTGACATTTTTCCTCTTTTAGTGCTCGACAATGTCCCGTTTGGATGCAATATAAAATAAGTAAAAATAACATTATGTTAAGCTATACAGCTTTGCTATCAGATCAATGCGCTGGGATATGGTTACCGCGGAAGTTCGATGCGCTTCCTAACCGTCCACGGTTGCATAGTCGAACAGTCGAAGAGAAGTTTACGCTACGTTTGAGGCTAAATTGGATCACGAATTCTCGAAGTTTCCACCGGAAAATCCTGTGAGGATTTCCTATAAACCGACAGTGCAAACTGAGCAAACTTGCTAACAAAAACGGGGTTTAGATTCTGTACTATGCTTTTTAATTATTAAAAAATCAAGTCTTTCAAAAAGCAAATTAGAAACTTTTACTTCGCCAGTAAATAATCAACAATAAAGATTTTTTATTCGACTTAACTGGCTATCTTTATTAATTATAATTGTCACGACGTTTCATGGCTTTTGGTCTTTCTCAATCGATGTAACCTTTGATAGCTAATAAGCATCCTTTTTTTAAATCACTATAAAGAATTTCAAAAAGAAAAAAGGAAATATTAAAAGGAACATATCTGACGATACATTAAGCTTTTATCTGTACTTACTGTAATTGATTATTTACGATTTCATTCCATTCGTGATGTTTTGCTATTTCGAAACATGAAAATAGCTCTTAAGTTGTGCGCATTTTACGCATTTTGTCTTCTAGTATAAATTATCATATTTTTGACATCACGCAAGTGTGGTCCACTATACTTAATAAAATATATATTACTTTTATATAGGTATATTAATTCTTTCCAATGTACAATTACTCTTTAATCGAGCGAACAAGTTAATTTGTTGCCATAACGAAATTCTCACCTCCGCTGCAGATTTCTTTTTACGCGCGATTATTTTTACCCGCTGCACATAGTAGACATTATTATGATGCATAACTGCAACGCCGTCAAAGCAGAATGGTGCGCTGAGAATGCGGAAGCTCATAGTTAATCCACTATTCATCCTATACCTCTCACTAACCCTCTCCCCCCTGCAGAAGAATGTCCGAAATTGTTTGCATGTCAAAAGCCGAAACTTTGTAGTGTTATAGCCGGCACGGTTCGCTGTTCCGTGAATTTATGCAATGCGTGTAAACATAAATTTTTCTTCTATCTCTTTTTTTTTCAAGAATTATAGAGGTGCAAAAGATCGCAGGCGCGGCATATTATGAATTTTTGCGCTTTTACACTGAATACGTTGTGCGTTTTGAAGTTATTCTTTCGCCGAAAAAACCAAGCCGGTTGGCCTTTTTCAACATGTTGATTTACGACCCCATTTCACACGCGAAAACTGTCTTTTACGATAGTATAAAGAAAAATATCTCTGTTATGAAAATCAGTTTCACAATACTTCTTCTGTGCAATTTTTAATTTTATATTGATCATTTTTGAAGAAAAAAATCGCATAAAAATGCATATATTTGATGGTAAACGTATAAAGTAAGTATGTTTTGTTTAAAAGCTGTTATTATTTATATACGCAAGCAAGAAGCTACAATAATGATTGCATTATAATGATATACACATATATAATTATGTTTAAAATAATTATTATTTCCAAAGTAAGTAAATTCTATTTTATTAAAGTTAAATTATAGACAATATTGTTTTCTTGAAAGATACTATGTATAACAATTTTCACTTATTTTTTCGATTTTTAAGTAATGAAGAAAGAATGAAAGGTTGGTATAAGAATCTTTTATGAATATCTAAATAAAGTTTTCATTGTTATATCGTAAAATAAGAAGACATCCTGTCTCTTATTAGGTTATAAAATGTTGGATATAGCTGTGAAATTAAATGTATTTTAGCACAGCTTGTTTTATGCAGTTCATTCTTTTTTCGTTTAAAAAATATCAGACAAAATGAATATTACAATAACAATCATTTATAATAATCATATATCGCACATATCTATCATCACGAGAAGTTTATAATGGTCCTTATTTTTATGAATTTCAGAAAACACAATTGGCGATAATGATGTTAATGATTGAAAATGTTAGCTCTTACCTGATTGCCATGCTCTTTGCTTTCAGATGATGCCATCTCTGGTTCATTTCATCCAATCGACGTTGCAGCATAACAGCGTCATCTTGACTCGCCAGGGAACTCAATAATTTTCGTCCGGTACCGTTCAAAGATGCGTAAACGTCTCGGTGCGTTTCTATTTCCGACTGAAGATCCTGCAACAAGCAGGAGGATGCCTCCTTAGATCCTTAAGAACGAGATTAAAGGACGTCACGGGAAAGGTGCCAGTTATTTGGAAAAGGTGTATATATTTTTTGTTATTTTTATAAAACCGTAAATTATAAAAATAACAAAAAATATATACAACTTTATTTTCAATCTGTGACAAGAATGACTCGAAGTAACAACTTTATCAATACAAATTAATACGCTTAAATATATAATCAAGAATTTTAGCACGTAATTTTTCTCATTACAATTTCTCCAATTAAAATATGGTTATTTAGTAATTGCACATATTTCTGGAGAAATGTAAATTAAAAAAAAAAAGGGATACAAAACTTCGATTTTAGGGAATCCGACTCTTTTTATGGAAATGGGAAGCATTTGCGTTGCAGAGAGAGAAAGAGAGAATTCGTGGTGTTTCGTCATCGCGATGACGTGAATTGCAGTCTGCGCGTGGATAGAAATGATTTATATACGAGTTTCCATGTACAACGGTGGTATACGAGTACGTCGGCGCCGACATGCAATGCATGCGCCAATGAAAATAAATCGGCGCCGATGCGAGTGAATTAAGAAATATTCGCTGGCGTCACGACAAGAACAATAGGATTTGTTTTGTTCCCTTTAAAGCAGGTATGCACGGTTTGCAGTTACGTGCAAATCTGGCCTTACTTTATTCCACATTCCTCATCAATATAAAATTAGATAAAAAGTTTCATTAAGCAAACTTTAGAAAAATCCCAGAATTCTCTTCTGAATGTTAAAAATGATATCTATAAAATGTCAATTAAGGACGTTCTCTCGTCTTTATACTAGAGAAAATCGATTTTCTTAGGATTTTCTTGAAACTGTGAATATACGTTAATTTAGATGTGCTTTATGCGTGGTATAAATTTCAGTACCTCTTTCGGTATAAAAAATAAAAATACTGAGCTTCAAAGTTTCAAAAAAAATTTTTAAATTTAATTTTTTTAGTTTTGGCATTTTTTCCTTATAGAACTCGACGAGAAGAGAGCAACTTTGGTCCTCTTGGTCAACCTCGTATCTCTTACCGTTTGGCCTGGAAAACCTTTTCATTAGTAAAAGTTGAAACTTTGAGGCTCAGTATCTTGATTTTTTATACCGGAAGAGGTACTGAAATTTATACCACGCATAAAGCACACCTAAATTAACGTATATTCACAGTTTAAAGAAAATCGATTTTCTCTAGTATAAGGACGAGAGAACGTCCTTAATCTAAAATTGCAGAATTGGAAATAACAAATTTTTGTAATTCGTAATTTGTAATTTCTACAAGCAATTTAAACTAGCACAATTAATCACTAATTGAAAGCCAATCAATTTGCAATAATAATAAAGTTGTTATTATTATAAAATGATTACGTAATTAATGTTTAATTGATGATGTTAATAGTTTATGTTTTAATATTGCATATATGAATATGATTCCATTCAGATTCGTACAAATAGTATTACTCTCTATTACAGGTGTATTTTATATTTTGATATGGATAACATGAAGAAAAGCAATAATTTACGAACAAAGAGGTTTTCAACTTTGTCACAGAGATTATAAAAATAGAAATAAAAATATTATCAAAAGTACGTGTCACTGTCGCTCGTTTAATCCAGGTGTCAGAAAATATTTGAAAATAAAGAAAAATACGAAAGCAGAACGTTCTCTAGAGAAATAACATGCAATAGCAACGACACTATACAAAGTCCGTGAAATATCTCTCGTTTCCGTTTGCCGCGGCGTTGTCTTAATCTGAAACCGTCTGCCTGTCAACGACGGTCGCACTCCCTTTTCAAATCCTCCAGCCCCTTCCCAACCCTCTTCAATTTTTGACACGCCCGAATTGAAGGCTCCAATCTCGAGAACGATTCTGGCCCAGGACTCGATTCCCATCTGGGTCGATGATCGACGGGTCAGAGCGAGATATTTTTCAGCTGCAGTTTCCGCGCGAATTGACGCCGGTGACACCCGGTGTGCATCGCGGAGACACGCGTAATGAAAAAAAAAAGAAGGAGGGGAGAACGTGGCGCTCGCTTTTCTCTCGGAAAAAGAGGAGTAAATATATCGACGAGTATACCGCTTGCGCCGGAGAACGCGCTCCGGAAAATTGGGCACATCGATCAAACTGGCTCTTACCCAGCGACAGACGGACCGTACGTCCGTCGAGCGCGTTCGAATTGGTAACGTTTAATTGGCGCTCTTGGTGGCAGCTTGTGCGGAAGCTAATTTCGTTTAAAGCTCGATGGGGACGCGTGGAGTTGCCCTGCACTTCGATCCTCGAAATCCACAGATTATGAATTGCTACGCGTCGAGCTTGGTAAACAGTGACGGCCGGCAATAAATATTACGATGCTGAATAATATTTTTCACGTATCCCAGTCGTATTGTTCACTACAGCCTATATACATTGCAGCGTAGTCATGTTATTTAACAACGTGGAAAAAATGAAGACGTACAAAAGGTATATAGATATATAGAAAATATAAATTAGCTAACCCACATTAGTCTCAATATTTGTATGTAGCATATAGTATGTCTAAAATTATTTATTACGATAATTAATTTTATTTCTACATGTTGATCATAAAAAAGAAAGATCGTAATGCTAATTAAAGTTTATAACACATATTTCTTTCGTTACAATTACTCCTATAAATAATTCGGAGTGGCGCGGCGAAACAAAAATTAAAAATAAAATAATTGATAAACTTCATAAACTTTTGCGATGTGTATAATTTTATTAAGGAGAAAATTCACTCAAATAACGAGTACCTTCTTACGGGCTGATAAAGACTCGTTTTACCGCACTTGACAGCCAACAATATCGCAAAGTTGTATCAATGTCGTTGCGATCTCTCAAGAATGTATCCCCGATGTCGATTAGATTTTTCCCGCTAATGGAGCTCTCGTAGGGACGCCATCGTGGCGGGCTAAGTATTAAAATGTTCAGGGATGCACCAGGGAGATGGCTCGGAAAAAAAGTGCAAAGTACAAAACGTTTTTGCATTATCCGACGCTGCTCCGAAGTTCTTATCGCGGTTCACTGTGCAATTACGCAAATGCGCCTTACCGGCGACGTCGATGTGCATGGTAGCCGGAACACACAGCATATACAAGGTGTGCTAAAAGGCTTGGATTTTCAAAAGTTTCCTGACAAACTTATACTATTGAATTTTTTGTCTTATTAAAAATTCGGTCGCAGAATTTCTCGAATTTGCATCGTTAAATAAAAAACGGGAGAATTTCATAAAAATTTAACAAAGCAATCAGTTTCTCTTAAATTTATTGGAGAATCTGATTGAAAAAGAAATGTCTCTGTTATGTATAAAATGAATGAGAACCATCATCAGTCTTTTTCAACTTTTAAGAATGCTTTAAGATAATTAAAATAAATAATAATATAAGATATGCGAGTATAAAATTAATAAGAAATAATCAGTTTTCTTAAAATGCGAATACATAAAACTTACGTGAGATACAAAAAGAATTATTTATTCGTGCATATTTAAATATTACATAAAATTGTAGTTCTATTTAAAGAAAAAAAGTCTCTTTTTAATTCAGATACCGAACAATTTAAAAAACTAATTTATAATTAAAATTATAATCGTGAAATGCTTTGTACAACTGCATTATCGAGACAAAAAGACAACGTCACTTCCGTTGAACTGATTTCTACGAGCAATTCTAGCACCGATTCGCTCACGCGTCGCGCATTTTGTCACTTTGCGATTTACAATGCGATATATACGTCCGATAATGAAATCAACCAGGGACGTCACTAATGACACGCAACCGACGTGACGATAGCACGATTTCGCTTTTCGCTTTATCGACAATTTAATTAATTCGCTCGTCCTCGTTCGACCTTTACACGTCATTCATTTAATGTCGATCGGCAATTATTTTAATTTCACGATAGATTGATATTCAGTTAAAAGAAAAAAAGAACAACGGACGTGACATCCACTTTTCGACGAAGTAATACGAGGAATGCTAATTACACCGCGCGATAGCATAATCTTTCTAATGAGCGGCATAATACATGGCTTATCTTTTAATTAGCAAATGAAATATTCCTGTTATTAACTCAGTTATGCGCTAAGTAAAATTTAACAAAGTTTTATTTAATATATTTTATTTAACATAACATTTCTCGAGATGTCACTATTTCAATTAAGTGGAAGTTACGAAAACTCACTACCGTTATTTTCCCGTTAAATACCATTCGCGAGTGTCTAACTCGAATCTAATAAGTGCCTAAATTTATGTTTAATATTCCTACCCACGTAAATGCGGCGATTAAATCAATTCCAGGAGCTGTCGTGGAATATCTGAATTTAATTGGAACCGCGAAACTAAACCGTTAATCTTAATCCAATTCTCCACGAGGTTGGATGTAATATGGCACTATGTTCTATTAAAGACGAAACAACGATTTATCGTTACAATTGATACGAATTGAGAAAGGTCGTGAAAATAATAACAAACTTTCAATAATTCAATATCCGCGTGATTAAATATCTCCACATCAAAACAGGGAAATAAGCCCTTATCATTTTCAATGGTATGAAATTTTATTATTAATTCCGTTTACGTATCGGAACGTTGCGAAATTATAATCTCCAGCTTTACACGTAAAAAGGTAAAATTCAAATGGGAACCCGCAAACAATTCATGAAAAGTCACATTATTGTTTCCGCGCGAGTGTCCGATATTATATTCATCAACCTATTACACCAAACTGAGATATTACCCACTGATTAACATATTGCAATTAATGTATTGCGTTCGGCCATTGGTGTATTATGTTATACGTAACATCCGATACATATAACTGGTATCGCATAAAATGATATTAATACTAATTTGTAATTATTCCAACGTTCCGCGATAAAACCGTGACTTGAATGCAACATTTACAAGTGATTCTTATATGTAATATCCGCGGTTCCCAATAGCTTTATACGCTCT